CTTGGCAGCAGGTACATATATCACATTTGAACTTGAAATCTTTAATTTCAGGTCTAAAGAGGCTAGTCTTTTTGCCTTTTCATACTGTTCATGGGGTTCTCAAGGCAAGAATACTGAAGTGGTTTGCCTTTCCCTTCTTCAGCAGACCACTGTTTTGTCAGAAATCTCCACCGTGACACATTGCCTTGGGTGGCCCTGCACGGCATGGCTCATAGCTTCATTGAGTTACACAAGGTTGTGATCTGTGTGATCATTTTGGTTAGTTTTCTGTGATTGTGGTTTTCATTCTCAAGGCTGTGGGATTGTAGTTCTTATTCTCTCTGCCCTCTGATGCATGAGGATAAGAGACTTGTGTAAGCTTCATGATGGGAGGGATTGGCTGTGAGGAAAACTGATGTTTTTGAATTGTGGTGCTAGAGAAGACTCTTAAGAGTCCCTTGGACAGCACAGAGATCAAACCTATTAATCCTAAAGGAAATCAACCCTAACTATTCATTGGAAGAACTGCCGCTGAAGTTGACGCTCTGATACTTTGGCCGCCTGATGTGAAGAGCCAACTCATTAGAAAAGACCCCGATGCTGGGAAAGATTGAAGGCAGGAGAAGGGGATGACAGAGGATGAGATTGTTGGGTGGCATCACCGACTCAATGGACATGAGTTTGAACAAGGTCCAGGGCATAGTGAAGGACAGGGAGGCCTGGCATTCTGCAGTCCATGGGGTTGCAGAGTCAGACAGGACTTAGCAACTAAACGACAACAAAGGAGCTAGTCTAGACAGATTAAATCTTTACTTCACCAAATGATCCAATCATGAAGTGATATTGTCCACAACAAAGAGTGAAATTTATGGTTTGTTGCAGGTGCTGGTCAATGAAATAGAAGCACCAGTTCCCCATCAGTGAGCTCCTGTTTACTCTCATCCTGACACATATATCCAAGGCCTTTGGAGAAGGGCTGAGCTCTGACAAAGAGGCTTTTTCTCTTCCCTGATAGCACCTGCCTGTCTTTCCCACCTATTATGGAGGTGTGGTCATCTGTCTATTGTTTCTGAGTTTTAAGTCTCTGCTTTACATGCATGAGAACCCTGACTATTCTGGCGTCTCTAGACCTGAAATTTTATGCCACTGAGTATTTTAAATCAGTTATTAAGGCCCTAGATCTGCTATCAGCTATACCTTCATCACATAGAATACATTTCTCCCCATCTGAATGGTACATTCACTAAAAAATCAAAAGTCTGTACTGAAGGGCGAGTGAGGAGGGTGTCTGGGTTAAGAGGGGGAAGGTATGCTTGGCTCTAGTCTGGGGGTAGCACTGTATTTACAGGACAATTCAGGCTGCCCCCAGTTCATTTACTAATAACTTTCTAGACTAGACCCCACAATGTAATATTAGCACCAAGTCCATCACTGTGTCAGCTTAAAAGGAAATTCTCAGCAGTTTATTTAGTTCCAACAGGCTAAAGGGATCAGGTTTTTTTTCATGCCCCATTTTTATACAATGATCCACGTTCCTTTTCCTCTGGTGAGTCCACAAGGGTTAAGGACTGTTGGATAGCAGGTTATCTACAAGCAGAGGATCAGTGAGAGTTCCCCTCCAGTGAGCTTGAGCCACCAGGTCCCTTTTCTGTCTCTCCGGTCCTCCCTCATTTGGTGGTGGGTATCTACTTCTGCAAATTCCCCCTCACAGACCTTTCCAGTGTGAGTTACTCCTCTGATGACCTTCTCCCTCTTCCTCCATCTCAGTCTTGCATTGTCCTTTAGATTAGAGAAACCAGCTCCATTTGCTGCCTCTGAGTATTACTGACCTGCATGAGACTGCTGTGGTCTCTTTGAGACTTCGTGCTTTAATGAGTGCTAGGGAGAGGAAGATGGCCTGTGTGCAGTGAGTAGGGGAAGAAAAGGAGGCAGGGCTTGCCCAGAAAAACAGCCTAATACTTTGAAGTGTAAGTCCACCATATGCCCTATAAAATTAGAATCTTTCACTCTGATTCTGAATAATTTAAACAGCATTATTTTGGCAGTTTAATTAGGAGAACAGTGGGTCGAGGTCTGTTACATCAGTGGTTAAGGTGAGTGGGAAAGGAGCTTTTATCAGTGTCTAAAACATTTCTATCAAAACCACTGAAAAACATCAAGGGAAGAATCATGTATAATTTGTGACATACCAGCTCTAAAAATGAAAGTAGTAGCGTTTTCTCTAGATTTGTTCCATACACTGCCATTCAACTTGGCCAGATGCTTTCCAATTAAATTGGTACAACTTATCTCTACAAACGATAATATCTGACTTTGATTGAATGTTCATTCTTTATCAGATTCTGTGCTCTAAATTTCATATATATTATCATATAAATTTCATAAATTTTATATATTATCTCATAAATTCTTCCAAACAATTCTATGAGTTTTTTTTCTTTTTTTTAAAAAAATCTTGGTAGGTTGTAAATTGCCATTTTTCAGATAAGGAAGTTGAACTTTAATTTTGCCCAGGGTCACACAGCCAGTCAGTGGTGAGATTCAAACCAAGGTCTTTGTGATCCCAAGGTTTCTGCTCCTACTCCCACATCATACCTTTGGTATAGAAAGAATCCACAGGAAAACTGAGTCCAGGCTGACTCTGGCAAAATCCTGGCATCCCCACAGCCAATCTTGGGTCTGAACTCAGCTTGAGGACACAGAATGTATCAGATCAGAGGTCATGCTGAGATACCATCCTGCATTTGGAGAGCTCCTCTGAAGTGGGCTTCCCAGGTGGCACAAGGGTAAAGAATCCACCTGACAAGGCAGGAAACACAGGTTTGATCCCCGGGTCAGGGAAGATGCCCTGGAGGAGGAAATGGCAACCCACTCCAGTACTCTTGCCTGGAGAATCCCACGGACAGAAGAGCCTGGTTGGCTACAGTCCACAGGGTTGCAAAGAGTTGGACACAACTGAAGCAACTTAGCACGCCCTCTTTAATAGACATTTGGCTTGTTTCCAATCTTTTACTGACTGATACAATGAATAAGCTTGAATATATGTCGTTGTGCATATATCTCTATAGGAGAAGTTTCTAGAAATAGGCTTGTTGCCTTAAAAATATGGGTTTATATATATATATATTTTTTTTTTTAACCGATAATGCCAAATTGCCCTCACCAAGGGTAATACTAATTTGCATGGCCGCCAGCAATATGTGAGTTTTCCACAATCCTTCCAACAGAGGGAACACATTTTTGAATTGTGGAAAACTCATACATTGCTGGTGGTGGTGCAAATTTTGGCTAATCTGACTGATAAAATGTTTGGACTTTAACCCATCCAATGCAATAAGATGCAGTATTATAGATTTTTCTTACTATGGTTAAAGTTAAGCACTTTCTATATGCTTAAGAGCCGTTTGCACTTCCATTTCTGTGAAATTTGTCTGCTTTATTTTTGGCTTATAGGTGTTTTTCTTATCAGTTTCTAAGGATCCTTAATATATTAGGGAGAGTAGCACTTGTTTGTATTATGAATTGAACATATTTCTTTCTCTTTGTAGTTTACCTTTTTCCTTTTTTCTTCTTGATTTTCATATGGTTAAATTTATTAGTCTTCTTTTATGTCTTATGAACTTTTAAGTCAAATTTTAAAAAAGTTTTTTCCTACTCCAAGATTATAAAAGTGTCCTCCCTGTTGTCATCCAGTACTTTCATGGTTCTTTCAGAATTTTATTTAAATCTTTGATCTATTAATACTTGGAGCTTATCTTGGTTTATAGTATAATTTTTGTATCCAACTTTTTATTTTCAGATGACTCTCTAGTTTTACCACACCATTTACTCAACAACTGCTGGTAATTCAAGTGCCTACTGGTTTGAGGTGCACATATATCATATACAAAATGTCTTTAAAAGTATACATATATATAATATATATAATATAAAATGGCTTTATCTTAGAATACCAGAATAAAGTCTAAATTTTTCTGTTGCAGACCTAGAGGGTTTATTTTTTTTTTTAATATACATAATGTGAAATTTACCATTTTAACCATTTTTAACTTAAACCATATAAAGTTCAGTGGCATTAAGTATATTTGCATGTTTTGTGCAACCATCACCACCATCTACCTTCAGAACTTTTTCATCTTCCCACCATATGACTTGAAATCAAACATACTGGTCATTTTATGATGTCCTTTGTATGGTGTATGCTGTTTTCAGAGATGTTAAAAATTGGGAAAGTGTATATCTTAGAATTTATGAAATATGGTACTAAATTCCCAAACGTTTTTGGTATGTTTCTTAGACGTTATATTCTGTGTCACTGGTTTGCCTCTTCATGTACTAATGTCACACTATTTTAATTACTGAAGATTCAAAATATCTTTTAATACACAACAGAGCTAGTTTTCCCTCATTGGTCTTCTTTTTCAGAAGACATCTTTTTCCAACTGTTTGTGTCTATCTGTCCAGATAAACTAGGCACCTTCTCTTTGGTTCTTCTAGATCTTCTTTTCCTCCCTCTGTGTACCTCTGTTTCACGTAAATTATATAAACTTGAATACAGAAGAACTTCTTACACCTGAAGATCAGCTAAAAGTCTGGATCAGGGTATCTTTCCTGAAAGTTTATCTTCTTGACTTTGTTCTGGGTTTTTACTTCAACATTGCCATGGGAGGCACAGTCCATTCCTGACCTATTTTGCTGCCAGAAAAGGAAGATGAATGCTTCTATGACAGTTCTTAGAATCGCTTACTCCTTTTGTATCATCCGGTACATAGAATATCAGCCTTTTTAAGTGAATTAAGCACTGTCTTTATGATGAAAAGTCTTAAGTGATTGCAGTTGCATCAGGGTTTAATGTGGTTCACTAATGCATTTACCCTCAGTAGGTTTGTTGTTTTGCCAGTTATTCCTATTAAATTTTTAGCATATTTAATATTATATTACTAGAAACTTGCCTTTATTTACATCCATAGATCATAAACGTGGTTTTTTTTGTTGTTGTTTGTCAGTAAATCCTGTGGAAAATGGCCTTCAGTGATCTTACATCGAGGACCGTGCGTCTTTATGATAATTGGATCAAAGATGCAGGTAAGTAACCAGATTTCCTAACTGTGGCTCATCCTTCCTTTTTTGGTCAGATTCTCGTACTTAGTAGGATTTCATTGAAACAGAATGAGAGACTTTGCAACTTAACGCTCCCTTAAACACCCCATATATTGATTTTTTCAAATTTTTATTTATTTGGCCACACTGGGTCTTAGTTGTGGCGTGTGGGATCTAGATCCCTGACCAGGAATTGAACCCGGGCACTCACATTGGGAATGAGGAGTCTTAGCCACTGCACCACCAGGGAAATCCCCCTGATTTTTATTTTAATTAGTGAAGAAGTATCAAAAATTTCATTGAAGATGTATATAAAGATAGAGGTATTAATACATAGATGATGTTATAATATGATGTTTGTAATTGTGAAAATAGCTTTATATCCAGGGAAAGGAATTAGTCAATACATGGTGGTACATCATTCCAACTCAGTAGCCATTAGAAGTGATTTTGGAGGCACTATGCTCTTAGGCTTGATTCTGCCCTAATTCTCTTAAGGGAAATAACAGTTATCACCAATAGTGACTCTCTGTCCAGTAATAACTCTTGAGTGGGAAGGGCCACAGCCCCCAGGAGTGTATCAGAAAGAGGGGGCATTTGCTGGGGTAACCCCTGAGTAATTCTGAAATGCCCATCTTCTCCCATTGCCCATTAAATAAAAAAATCAATGTTATTGAAAGACATTTAATGCCATAGTGAGTGGTTTAAAATTATTAAATGCAAGCAGGTTATAAAAGACCACCTGTATTTCATGTGTGCAAGCTCAGTGGTTCAGTCATGTCCAGCTCTTTTGCAACCCCATGGACTGTAGCCTGCAAGGTTCCTCTGTCCATGGACTTTTCCAGGCAAACATACTGGAATGGATTGCCATTTCCTATTCCATTTGTGTGGTAGGATTATGGGTAATTTCTGTTTACTTTTCTGTGTCTGTCTACTAGATGTTTGGGGGTTTCTTGTTTTGTCTTTTGTTTGTTTGTTTGGCCACAGTATGCAGTATGAGGGATCTTAGTTCTCAGACCAGGAATTGAACCTTCGCCTCCTGCAGTGCAAGTGTGAAGTCTTAACCACTAGACTGCAAGGGAAGTCCCTGTCTAGATGTTTTTAAACCACATCAATATGTGTTGCTTTTATAGCTGTTATAAAATGTATTAAACATAGCATTTTTAAAAGAATAGACAAGGAATCAGAACATTTCAGAGCTGAAATGGACTTAGATATCATCAAAGCTACCTCCTCATGTTGTTGTTGTTCAGTAGGGTCTGACATTTTGTGACCCCATAAACTGGAGCAAGCTAGGCTTCCCTGTCCTTTACTAACTCCCGGAATTTGCTCAAACTCATATCCATTGAGTCAGTGATGCCATCCAACCATCTCATCCTCTGTTGCTCCTTCTCCTCTTGCCCTCAGTATTTCCCAGCATCAGGGTCTTTTCAAATGAGTCAGCTTTTTGCATCAGGTGGCCGAAGTATTGGAGCTTCGGCTTCAGCATCAGTCCTTCCAATGAATATTCAGGGTTGATTTCCTTTAGGATTGACTGGTTTGGTCTCCTTGCTGTCCAAGGGACTCTCAAGAGTCTTCTCCAACACCATAGTTTGAAATTATCAGTTCTTCAGCCCTCAGCCTTCTTTGTGGTCCAACTCTCACATCCATACATGACAATGGAAAAACCATAGCTTTGGCTGTATGGACCTTCCCAACATTATGATCATTTGTTGGCAGAAAGATCAGAACATACATTTTCTGGTTATGATTAGTACTCTGGTGTTTCACATTTGAATTCCTTTCCACATATTCACCACCATCACCACTTTAGATTACTTTGTTACCTATCACTTAGAAATCACATATTCACAAAATTCAGGAGGAAAAAGTATCACTTCTTGCTGCCTAGCACAGTTGAAATTATATTTCTGTTGTATTAGCAAAGATACAGTGTTTCATGGTTGCTATCTTTCTCAGTGGGCTTCCTAAATAATTCAGTGGTGAAGAACCCACCAGTAATGCCGGAGACCCAGGTTTGATCCCTGGGTTGGGAAAGTCCCCTGGAGAAAGAAGTGGCAACCCACTCCAGTATTTTTGCCTGGGAAATCCCACTTAAAGAAGAGATGGGTGGGCTACAGTCCTTGGGGTCTTAAGAGTCAGGCACAACTTAGCAATTCAACAACAACAAATCTTTCTCAATAGATTACTAAAAACCAATCTCATTTCACTGAAAAAGGTCCTATAGTTTTGCCCCTGAAGAATGCAAAGGACCTAACTATAAAGGATCCCATAAATAGAGAAGTTTCACTCTGGTGAATGGAGAGTAAAGGGAATTTTTATATATATATTTAATTTTTTCTTATTTTTCAGCTTATGTAATGATACAGAGAATATATAGATTTCTTTAAAGATCATCTTTCTCTGAAGATTTACAGTAGTTCTCATAAATTCAGTATTTAATTTAAATACTATTTTTTGTCTGTTGTAATGGGTTTTATTTATTTATTTAAAAATATGAATATTTTAATTTATTTTCAAGGTAGAGGTGTAACTTGCTACCTGAACTCTCATGATTTAACCTTGGGAACCAAGTAGATTTGGGTAGTGTTTTGAAATAGACATGTTTGGAAGAACAGATCACTTGCTATCCAACTCTTGCTACTCATTATCCCCATTGAAAGAACCCAAGAGATTCAATTAATCAATATCCTAATTCAAGAGCCAAATAGATTTAGGTGATGATGAATATCTATATAGTGCTCAAAGTATAAAATGTTTTAAGATGAACTACTTCTGAATTCCACTTCCAATTTTATTCATGGGTCAATTCTTTATTTTTATTATGAATACTTACATTGAAAATATGAGTAGTATTAGGTCAGAAAAGGGAATTAGAAAGGTGAGAAGTGGTTCAAGATAGACAAGGCAAGTCCTGGAAGCAGTGTTACAAACAGTGAGAGGAGGATGAGAGGAAGAGGCAGGTGATGCTACTGATCTGAAGCTATGCTAATTTAAAGTCTTGAGAGAGGAGGGAAGGTACGGAGATGTGTGGTAAGAAGACCTAGATTTAAGTTCTGCCACTATTGTGAACCAGCTTGGTGATCTGGCACAAATTATTTACTGTCTGTGAGCCTCAGTTTCCTTGTTAGCAAAAGAGAGTTGAGACTGGTGTCCGCTGGCTACCAGATAATACACATGAAAGTGTTAGTCACTTAGTCGTGTCTGGCTCTTTGTGACTGTGTAGCCCGCCAGGTTCCTCTGTCCATGGAATTGTCTAGGCAAGAATGCTGGGGTAGATTGCCATTCCCCAATATGCATGAAAGTGCTATGTTATTTAGGAAGTATCCCAACAGAAACAGTGGTGGTGGTTGATGACTTATAGTGCATTTCCATGTTCAAATACTTTTAATATAGCGTATCTTTTTTTTTTTAAGTTTTTTCATTCTTTTTCCTGTCAAAATCTAGAAGGTTTAAAATGGTTTGTGTTGAGATGTATAACTTTATGAGAACACTATTGGGTATAACAAGAGGGGTTGTTTTTTTGCTCTGTGTAGTGTGGTATTGATCTCTGAGAACCATTAGGAATCATTTTTGGCCATCTTAGTTCTGTTTTACTTTGCCTACCCTTCAAAGGCCTAAGGCCATGATCAAGTGCCAAGAATTTCAAGTGTATTCTTGGCTTTGGCCCTAATTCTGAATAGACTTCGGGAAACTTACTGATACTCGTTGGCTTTCTGATTGTTAGAGAAGTAGGAAGCAGGCATAGTTATTTCATGTGGAAAATTCCACAGCTACAGAATTTTAAAATGCTTTAATGAATACTTAAGCTATAAGAGGATTTATAATGTTTTGATGTTTAAAAGGCAACTTTCCTTGTGTTTGAATAGTAATGATGATGACCTTTCAGACTCAGAGTGATCTTTTTGCAAGAAGACAGAAAATCTGCTGCCACTCTGAATCTCTAGCACTTCACAAAGTACCAGAGGTACATGTTTGTTTCTCCTTCCAGCTTCTTCATCTTATTGGCACTTAGAATTTTAAAGGGTGTACCCTTTGAGCTAGTACTGCTACTTAAGAAGAGAACACACTCTTAAAAGTGGTTGATGGAAAAGCTCATTAATATTCTATGTATGTGACCCTTGTACTCCCCTGTACTCACTCTCCGGAACGCTCTTAGAAAAGCATTATGGGGCTAGTAATAAGTCAGAACTTCAGAACTGAGGTATGGACTCTCAGACAGCCTGCCCCTCCATCGTCTGCCTTTATCTGTTGATAGTACTTAAACCCAACTCTGATGCTAAATAGAAGGTACATGAAACTCTCCCTCCCTTATTCGCCTTTTGTCTCTAAAGAAAATAGAGCACACTTCACCCCAGAACCTTTTGCAATTTGTGAGATCATAGACTGAGGCAGAGTTACCTTTAAATATTGTCTAGCAGCTCTCTCTACACCCATTTATCGAGCCACCAGCCCCATCTGACTTGTAGATGTCTCATCAGTGGGAGCCCCCTGCCTCACATGAAAGTGGGCTCCCTATTTGGAAAGGTATCTGCCAAGAGAGAAGGCAGGAAAAATGAGCAGTCATCAGAGTCATGGACATATTAAAAACTATTTGCTCAGTAGGGAGAGCTAATTTAAGCAAAGGAATAATCTGAGCAAAGCTTTACTTCTAGAAAGTAAACTTGGTAGTTATATAGAAGATAAGATGGTGGCAGATTGGATCAGGAGACAAAGAAACCACATGAAATTACCGCAGAGCACCTAGCAGTGGGGTACTGAGGGCCTCAGTGTTGCTGAAGGAAGCATAGAACTCCTGGTTTATAACATTGATGGAATGTTCATCATGGTCATCTCAGCAGCCTGTTTCAAAATATGAATGCCTGGGGAATTCCTTTGGAGGTCCAGTGGTTAGGACTCTGATTCCACTGCAGGGGTACAAAACCGAGATCTGCTGAAATAATAGTAGCAATGCTTACTGAGCATTTAAGTTGTACCAGGCTCCATATTTGTAATAACTCACTGAATCCTCTCTGAGATACATGTTGTTTTGCACCCAGTTCACAGATGAGGAAACTAAGCACAGAGAAGTTAAGTCAGTGACCCCAGGTCACACAATGAGTCCGTTGGAGGGCCAGGATCAGTGCAGGCTGAGAAAGAATTAAAAAGCTGGGTGATTTGTTCTGTTGTTTGCTTTGAAAATAGTATGAAATTAAATGAACTAGCTTTTCCTCAAAGATAAGATTTTTTAAAAAATCTGCAGAACTTGAAAGGCACACTCAGGATTTTTTTTTTTAAAGTATGTGCTTATAATGTTAAATTGCAGGAAACATGATTTATTTAAATATTATTTCCTTCTGCTTCCTGAGCCAGCCCAGCGTGCTTTTCCTGGCTTTTTGTTTTTCCTACTGCTACCAGCGGAAGAACAGAAATATGGTATCATTTGATACCCCCATCTCACTACCTTCACCATCACCCTACTGTCACTGAACTAATAAAAGAATGAAATAAAATATCTCTAATTCAGAAATTCCTTTACTGACAAAAACAAAAATCAAAAAACTAGTTTTCAACCATGCCTATGATGTCCAGTCATAACAGAAACATTTAAAATTTCTTAAAAAGAAAAATAAAAATCACCCTTGTTGTCACCATCCAAAAGTAATAATGTTAACATTCTTCTAGAAGCCTTCTTTTAGTACTGGTTTTATGTGTTTATTTCATTGGAGATAAAAGCTAGACATATTAATATGGTTTATATTCATATATTTAAGGTTTAGATTACTCACTGATGGAAAAAAAAATCCATCAAAGTTTTGATCATTTCTAAAACCACAATGAGATATCATCTCACAGTTGTCAGAATGGTACTCATCAAAAAGAACAAAAGTAATAAATGTTGGTGAGAATGTGGAGAAAAGGGAACCCTCATGCATAGTTGGAGGGAATGTAAATTGGTGCAGCCGCTACGGAAAACAGTATGGAGGTTTTCCAAAACCTAAAAATAGAATTACTATATGACCCAGCAATTCTACTCCTGGGTATATATCTGGGGAAAAAAAAAAAAAAAACACTAATTCAAAAAGGTACATGTTCACAGCAGGATTATTTATAATTGCCAAGTTATGGAAATAACATAAGTGCTCGTCAACAGATGAATGGATAAAGAAGATGTAGTGTGTACACACACACACACACACTCAGCTATTAAAAAAAGCACATTTTTGCCATTTGCAGTAAAATGAAATGTCAGAGAAAGACAAATACTGTAGATATATCATATGTGGAATCAAAAAATACAACAAACTAGTGAGTATAACAAAAAAGAACCAGATTCACAGATATAGAGAACAAACTGGTGGTTGCCAGTGAAGAGGAGGGAGAGGGGGAACATGGGGTGGGAGAGTCAGAGGTACAAATTACTCAGTGTAAGATCAATGACTAAGATGTACAGTGCAGGGAGTGTGGCCAGTATTTTGTAGTAATTGTAGATGGAGCTTAACCTTTAAAAGTTGTGTTTTTAAAAAAAGTGTGATCTGTTCCAGTTCTGTCCTTTGGTCCCAGTTCTGTGACAATTTTCCATACTGAAACTTTCCTGGTGAGTTGCTAGACTGTGGCTGGCATTCCTTATAGCCTTTTTAATTGCATATACCACCCAGATATCCTGGGAAACTTGTTACAGGAAAGGCAGGGAATAAATTGAAGTACACAGTGATGTGTGCTACCTGCATCGCTGATTTCACAGCTTTTCCTGATTTAAAATGGTGACATCTTACTATGAAAAAAAATTTTTTTATTTTGAGAACTTTACGTTTTTTGTGTTCTTTTGAATGTCTTTGGGCAACGTTTGTTGAACGTTTGTTTTGCACACGATACTTTACTGAAATTGTTCCTACTAAGAGCATCAGTCCAGGGGTACTTTTAAGCCCACATTTTACTTTCCTTGTCTGCTTCATTTGTTACCTTGATTCCTTCCAGAAGTTCACTCTTCCTCTGGCTTCAGGATATCACACTCTTGTGGTTTTCCTTCTCCCTTTTTGCCTGCTCCTTCTCAGTCCTCTCCTCCTTTGAGTGTTGAGTCCTCCAGAGTCTGACTTTGGCCACTTGCTCTACTTACTCTGCTCACTTTTCCTAAGCCAGTATCTGAACAACAACAACAAAAAACTCAAATGTTTTTCTTAACTTCCACCTCTCATTCCCCATGATTAAATGATTTATGAAATTTTATGTTTTCTACCTCCTTACTATATGTCAAAATGATTGATCCTATTGATATTCTCCTATTACTACCTAATTTTTAGCAGTTTCACTTATGAATTCATTTTCACAAAGGGTTGTCTTTCCTAAGTGGTGTTCCACACAGTGTTGATTCCACAAGATGTTAAATAGTATCCTATTGATGTAAAAAATCAGGGCTCCATGGCCAAGTAAGTTTGAGGAATGCTGCATACCACCATTCTCATCTTGGCAATTCAAAACAAACGTGAACCACTAAGAAATTCTGCTGAAAAGTATTTTGTTTGCTTAACTTAGCGTTTCTAGTAGACTTTTCCTACTTTTTGGGGTGGTAGTTTAGTCGCTAAGTCATGTTGTAACCCCATGGACTGTAGCCTGCCAGGCTGTTCTGTCCATGGGATTTCTCAGGCAAGAGTACTAGAGTGGCTTGCCAATTCCTGCTCCAGGGGATCTTCCTGACCCAGGAATCAAACCCAAATGACTGCATTGCAGGCAATTTCTTTACCGCTGAATTTAAAGAATTCTTTAATATCTTCCTTGTATTTCATAGTTTGGGACATGCTTCGGTAGGATACAAGGTAAGGCACAAACTCATTTTTCTCCCAAGTAGTCAGTTTTCCTTTTTAATGAATTATCTCTCCCTTTCTTCTTGCTTATGTGGCTTTCTTTATCGTATATTAAATTCCTAAATATCTGAGGTCCATCTTAGAGCTGACTTTTAGCTTATTATTTTGAGATAAGGCATCTGTCAGTTTTTCTGAAGGAAGCCCATTGAGTGTAGAATAAATCATCTTTAATTACTACAGACATGCCCCAGTATATCTGAGTATCAAATGTGAGCTTTCCAGCAATAAAACTGAGGCCAAGTGAGTCATCAATCATGGAGTCTATTGAAGAAATTTTTGCATTGGGTAAGAAGTCAGACTTGAAGGGATAGTCAACTTTTTTTGGTAATTAGCTACACCATCAGCAGTTTCAATGGGCAAGGGCTGTATTGCCCCCACCCGTCCTTTCCAATTAACAAAAGTGGTATTTAGCAACCTAGTGTTAAAGACTCAATTTTGAATCAGACACACTTGGGAATTTGTCCACACATATTTTCCTTTATAATATTCTGGCTTCATGAAACAATTTTGTAAAATTACACCCAAACTACTTAAGATTATGGAATTAATCACATTTCATCTTGAGTTGCAGTTTTTTAATTAATCTAATTCTCATAGCCTGGAACTAGCAGTAATCATGTGAATTTCTTCTTTACATGATTGTGAAGCTAATACTTTTCTGTTTTTTGTTTAAAATATTGGATGGGTTAGCCCACATTCTGGACAGCTAGAACCCACAGTTCAGATACTTAAATGATACTAAAGTCCCTTTCAATTGAATAATACAGTACACAGAAAACTTTTCCCATTTTCTTGGGGAATGGAGAAAGTTAACAAACAGCAAACCCAAACATATTTATATATATGAAAGAATGTCTGGATGGAGAAACTCTACTATGTTACTAGTGGTTATAGATGGATGATACGATTTTTCCATGGACTTGCTCCCCTGCCCTGTGGCTTCTGGTTGGGTTCAGCTAATAGATAGGGAGGAGGGTGAGGCTAGGGTATTGATTTCCCTGGCCCCTTATTTGCAGGATTGCTGAATCCCTCCACTGCAGGACATGGCTCCTCAGCAGAAGTGCTTCTCCTTGTGGCTCTCTCCTGAGCTCTGGTGACCACTACCTCCATTTGCCCCTTGAGCCTCACTGTTTATAGCTCCATCCCAATCCCTCGTGATTTCCCTTGACACATCCTGGAGATAGTAGTCATCACTGACCAAACAGTTCCCTGACAGCATTAGGATCTAGGTGCTCATTAAAATGCTGGTTACTGTCAGTTACCACGTAGCTAAATGGCTGTGCACTTATATCTTGTTTTTCTCTTAGATCCTAGAGTTGAAGACTGGCTCCTCATGTCCTCACCTCTGCCACAAACCATCATCCTAGGATTCTATATCTATTTTGTCACTTCCCTGGGACCAAAGCTCATGGAGAATCGAAAGCCTTTTGAACTCAAGAAAATGATGATAACGTACAATTTTTTCCTAGTACTCTTTTCTGTGTATATGTTTTATGAGGCAAGTATCTCCAGTATTCCTAATGGGAGAATTTTACCTGAGTCTTTATGTTTGTCTGTCATGATGTTTCTTGATATGACTTTAAGGGTAACTCTCCAAGATTTAAGAAATTTCAGAAACTTAGCTCACTAGAGCAGGTATTTTCACCCTCCCCAAAAATATTGTTTTCTATAGACCAGATATTGAACTCCTTAAAGGATTTTGTTATAGGCTACCTCACTGATAGTGAAAAAAATGAAGTCCAGGGACTCACATGCAGTTAGCCATAAAAGATGATTGAATCCATAAATGTTCAACTTTAAGGAAACTCATCATTGGAGAAATTAGATACAGTCAAGATAGTGTATTGCCTGGAAAACTCCATGGATAGAGGAGCCTGGCAGGCTACAGGCCAGGGGGTCACAAGAGAGTCGGACACAACTCAGTGACTAAACAACAACAATAAAGATAGTGTAGCTGGTCAGTGGAGGGCTGATGTCTGAGTCCAGGTCTGTCTGACAGCAGAGTTCATTCTGATTCTAATGAGTTGTCATCATCACGGTAGGAATTTGGGGTTCAGAATGTATGCACACCCTAATGACCTGTTAGGTGATAGACTGGTTTGGTTTAGCTGAGTTTCATGGGGGACAGAGAACTTAGACTCCTACAAGGCAGTAGGTGAGGCAAGCTGTCCCTTCCCTGTCAATAAGAGAGGTGGGGAATTTCCAGGACCAAAAGCAGACTCATGAATTCTCTCTTTCTCCCTTCTGCTAATTGCAAATCTCAGCCACGCTCCCTTCTCTGCTTTTCTGGGATTCCTTGCTTCTCTTTCAATGCTGGCTGGCTTCCTCATCTTCTACTCCTTATCCACTTTCTCTGCAGCACAGCCTCTGCTTCCTCATTCCCAGGACCCAGGAGGACCTAGCTTGCCTCTCCATCCTCTCCAGACATCATGGCCTCTGCACATGCATTTCTCCAGCCTGATTCTTTCTGTGGATTCACCTGACTAGCTCACCTTAAATCTGCTCTGGTGTCATTTCTCACAGGCCTTTACTTTGCTGCCTTCTCTTTATTTCCAGAATTAACTCACAGGTCATCTTCCTCTTCTTTCTGGAGCATAAGCAACTGAAAGGGAGGGAGTAATGGAATAGAGATTGGGCGGGGGGGGGGGGGGGGGGGGCAGAAAAATACATGCTTTTGGCAAATTATTAGAGAGAGAATATAACCTACTATAGGACAGACCCAGAAGTACTAAGAACAGACCTGGAAGCCAAGAGACCAGGGACTAGTTAGTCCCAGTTATACTACTAACTAGCTACCTGATTTTGAGCTAATCATTTAAGTTCTGTGGGGCTCAGTTCTCTCATTATATAGAGTCAGGATTTACCTTGTCTCTCAGATCCTTATATGCTCTGGTTTCTAATTGTGTCATTGAATGTGGTGTCTCCAAATATATTTCTCTGGAAGGAATCCAATTATAACCAGTAAGTTTTGGTTTCAGCTTTAGAAATTACAACATAAAAGGTCTGAGAATGTCTGAATCTGAGAGTTTCTATCCCCTGTTAACCAGTAATACCTGAGTAACTTATATGCCAGTTCGGAGATTTATTACCTACCAAATATAAATGGTTACTCTTCCCTTGTGAAAGCCTAAAATACAGACATATATGTCAAAAGCTCTGCAGACTTTTGGAATGTTCTTAAAGTTAATATCAGGAAAGCATTGAGTTCTGCTTTCTGTTTAATCAAAGGTTTTTGACAGCTGAGCAGTTTGTCAGCTCCAGGACACATCCATACACATGGTTTATTGGGTGGAGCACAATTCCTTTTGGTCTACATCCTCCACAAAGGATGTTAGGGCAAATATGAACAAGGTGAAAGGAAGTACATCAGACTAAAGGAACCCACATGCCTCATTTTATAGTGATGGCTTGAATGTGCTAATTACTTGGCAAAAGTTAAGTAATAAAGAGAGACCAGCAAAGGCCCCACAGATGGTCACATCACAGAGCTTCTCCTATTCATTGCAGTGCTTGTTTGGAGTAGCGAATCAGTCAACCCCATCTAAGTGAATGGAGTTAGCATGTTATCTGAATCAGTCAGAAGTGAGTGCAAGAGAGTATGAAGACTCTCACTGACAGATCAGGACTTTGTAAAACAGATTTAACTATTTCAGTACTTCATTGCTTTGTTCATTTGAGAAAATTTATTGACATGTCTTTGTAAGATATTTTTTCATCCATGAAATCTGTTTTTATGCTTTTCTGAATCTTAATTTTTAAGATTTCATAATTTACCAAGTTGATAGTGTGATTATATTGCAAGTCAAGCTAGGAGCTAGTTATCAAAAAAGGACAGTGTTTTAAAATACTATGGTCTAAGTGGTTTTTCTTTCTCCTTCATTTCTTTTCACCATTAAAATGTCATTCTGATTTTGCCTCCTAAACTTTTGCCTATAGAAGTTAACTTACTGTAAAGTTGTCATTTCAGCTTTAATAGTATTTAAAAGTAAAGACTTAAAATGTAATGGAATAGAAAATGGTATAATCCTTATGCTGGGAAGGAAGTCATCTTTCTTAGGGAAGATGCTGGCTTTTGTGAGAACAGGATGCCAGAGAAGAAACTGGTCATATTGTTAGAGCCCTAACTTAAGCCAACCACTTAATATAGATATTAATTTAAAATTAGAGCCTTTAGCTTTTCATTTTCAGATACTGTTTTAAAAGGAGACCTTCCTACCACTAGACTGAAAGCATATCAATGTAATCTTTGAGTTATGGTCCAGACATAACAATAGGCCTTTTCTTCTCACCACTGGCCTAAAGTCACTTCGTGGGTGTGTTGGAATTAAGGCTTGCCAGATTGTATTCTCTTGTTAATATTCTTGTCTCTTACTTGTTATGTGAATTCAAAGCAAAACTAATGTGTGAGTGTTGTATTTGGTCTATCTTAATTTAAAAGCCATGAACTATCACTTCCTATTACATCCACTAACTGAAACAAGAAAAATCTAGTTGTTATAGACATTGGATGAGTACACTGAGAAGGTTCGTTTGCTCATTTATTTGTTGACTAATTGCAAAGATTTGAAATCATCAGAAAAGGCTGATTTCAGACTCAGTCATCACTTTGAGAATACACAAACATATACACAGGCACATAGAGATGTATATAAATAAGGTCAAATACTTACCAGTATTTGCTGTTTAAACAAAGCATTCCTGGCATTTTGTTCTCCAGTTTATTAGAATAATCATTCCAAGAAATAGTCATTTTAATTAGTACACAGTTTATATAAATGTGACTTTACAACTTTTAAAACTCTTGATGCTTTCATATGAAGTGAGCTCCTGGTTTGTAATTGTTCTAGTCCACTTTTCCCTCTGCACTGGCTGCCGAGTTAGCTGAAAATGCAATGAAGAGACATGGTCAAAACTACCTTTGTTGTGGCTGTTGAGCAAGTACTTTCTTCTGTAATATGCATGTGCTCTCTTACAGTTTATAATGTCTGGCTGGGGTACAGGTTATTCATTTCGATGTGATGTTGTTGACTATTCACAGTCGCCTACAGCACTGAGGGTAAGTTTCTTTTCAGAAAAAACATAACTCGAAGTCAGTGTTAAAACTTTGTAGACTCTATTTTTAAATACTGAATGTGAAATCAGAAGGAGTAAATGACTCAATTATCACATATGTGTTGAGTGAAAAAAGCTAAAAATTACTAAAAAAAAAAAATTCAGGTGTCGGGTTTTCTGTAAAATGCAAATTGGTGCTTTTCTTTTTGAATTTCTTGGATTTAAAAGTAAATTTGTATCTGGTTCCTCAAAAATGGAATTACCATATGTTTCAACAATTCCACTTCTGGGTGTATACCTAGAAGAATTGAAAGCGAGGATTCAAATGACACGTATACACGTGTGAAATAGATAACTAGTGGGAAGTTGTTATATAGGGCAGGGACCCCAGCTTGGTGCTCTGTGAAGACCTAGATGGCTGGGATGAGGGTGTGGTGAGAGGGAGGTCCAAGAGAGAAAAGATATACATGTACACATATAGCTGACTGACTTCATTATACGGCAGAAACTAACACATTGTAAAGCAATTATACTCCAATTTAAAAAAAAGATGTTTGTACACCAGTGTTCACAGCATTCTTCACATTAGCCAAAAGACGGAAGTCAACACACATGTCCATCAACAGATGAATGGATAAACAGTGGTATGTACATACAGTGGAATATTTTGCAGCCTTAACAGGAAGGAAATTCTGACACCTGATATAATGTGATTGAGCCTTGAGGACATTATGCTAAGTGAAATAATCTAGGCACAAAGGGACAAAGAAATACTGTATGATTCTGTTTTATGAGGTACACAGAGTAGTCAAATTCAGAAACAGGAAGTAAAAGGGTAGTTGTCAGTGGCTGGATTCCCAGGTGGGGACTTATTGTTTAGTGGGTGCAGAGTCAGTCCTGTCAGAGGAAGACCTTTATGGATAGTTGTACAAGAATGTGAAGGTACTTAATGCCACCAAACTATACACTTTAAAATGGTTAAGATGGTAAATTTTATGGAATGTAAACTTTGCCAAAATTAGAAAATATAAAGTTTTTTCCCATGTAAAAAAAATAATAAATTCCTATCTATGTGTGTTTCTGCAGATGTTACGCACCTGCTGGCTTTATTACTTCTCCAAATTTATTGAGCTATTAGATACTGTGAGTATATCATCACCACATTTGGTAAATGTTTGATGTTTCAATGAAAGTGTTAAACTGTGAGGGTTCAGTTGTCTGATAACTTTGGTTATCTCAGGCAGACTCCTATTATCTATTATTTTTTATTTTCACTTATTTTAGAGAATAGATAGCATAAACTTATTTTTCAGTCTTTTGCAAATGCCAAAAGATTTTTTGTGTATCTACCATCTGGGTTAAGATAAAAATGTAACTATCACAAATACTATAAAACTGAGCATCTTTTTATCTAGATGGATGACGGTTGTTTTGTGAAGTAAGTTCAGGAAGCAAAGAACAGAGAATATGTTACCTCTGATTCTTTATATCAAAGCAGTGTGTCATCCATACTCCTTTAAGAGGACAAATGCTTCAAAATTCATAAAGTCACACTAGAATGTTGTTATCTCTGGGATATCAGTAATATCAAAACTATTTCCAGCCGCCTTTCTGAAGTCTGTCTTATTGGGTCTTCTCCCTTCCTGAGGATGAACTCTGACTGGCTCCTGTGAAAAGCAAGTGCCATGGATTAGGATCCATGATGAGAGGAGAAAACCTTGTACCTTTGTTTCCAGAAACAACAGAAAGCTGGCTATTACTGTATCTTTGTGGCATGTGGACCTTATTTATCTGGAATCCATTCTGGCCTAAGACTGCCAAATGTGTTTTCTTCAGAATATATTCCACTACATTTCTAGTAGCAAATCTAAACATGCTTTACCTTCTCAGCTGGCTACACGTAATGTTAGAATTATTGATGTGTGTGTTAGTCGCTCAGTTGTGTCCAACTCTTTGTGACGCCATGGACTGTAGTTCACCAGGCTCCTCTGTTCATGGAATTCTCCAGGCAGGAATACTGGAGTGGGTTACCATTCCCTTCTCCAGGGGATCTTCCCCACCCAGAAATCAAACCCTGTCTCCCCTATTGCAGGCAGATTCTTTGCTGTCCGAGCAACCAGGGAAGCCCTGAATTATTGAGAGAAAGGAGAGCTTAGTAAGCATAGAATCCAGAGGTTCTCAAATTTTAGCATGCGTTAGAATCACCTGGCTGGGCTTCCCAGGTAGTCCTAGGGGTAAAGAATCCACTTGCCAATGCAGGAGATCAGAGATGTGGGTTTTGATCCCTGGGTGGGGAAAATCCTCTGGAGGAGGGAATGGCAACCCACTCCAGTATTCTTGCCTGGTAAATTCCATAGATGGAGAAGCCTGGTGGGCTATAATCCATGGGGTCTCAAAGAGTCGGACACAACTGAGCATGTACCCATGCACAGAATCACCTGGAGAACTCATGAAAAACACACATGTTTCAACCCCACCCTCAGAATTTCTGATTCAGTGGGTCTTAGATGGAGCTTAAGAATTTGCATTTCTATCAAGTTCCCAAGTGAAGTTATTGCTTTTGGTCCAGGGTCCACACTTTAAGAACCCCAGCTGTCGTCCACTGGTTCTCAACGCTATGGCCCTATAGATCTAACTGCCTTAGAAAACAAAAACCTGGGTGCCACCTCTAGAGATTTGGTGTCGAGATGGTCTGGAGTTAGAGACCAGGCATGGTTATTTAAAAACAAAAGACAAACCTTCTTGGACATTGTAAGATGCAGACAGGGTTGAGAACCATTGGTCTAGCCCAGAGCACTTAATCTGAAAAGAAATGGAAGCCAGACAGTTATAAGACTTACCCAGAGAAATGCCGCTACTGACTGGGACTAGGACCCCAGATTGCTCGTTTATGGCTTTTTCTGTTGCCCTGTGTTGCCTTCCTCTATGTGCATAAGGAAATGTGTTTTGACATCATTGTTCCTGCTTTGCATGTTCTCAGTTTCGGCTTCCATGGGAAACTGTTGCTTCTCTGTGTCCTTCCCTGAACCACATTTCTCAAATACTCTTAGGGATGCTTTTGTTTCTGCCACTCTATTTAGTCCTGTACTTAGAAGTCTAACTTAGCTCTGGTTTTCTGCGTTTTGAGTATTTTTGAGCATTTAATTCTGCTTTTGAATATTTTTTTTGAGAAAAAAAATCCAATCCCCTGCCCCTAGCTTTCTTATTCTACCTCTTTGTTTATTATAGAAATGATAGAGTTTCTGACTGGATACGTTCAATCTGGATGAGGGCTTTGACACCCTTCTCACTTTTCCTAAGCTGCTTTGCTTTCATTTCCACCTTACTTCCCTAATTAATTCTTCAATTATCTCCCTTTTCATCTTTCTTTAATAATAATTTGCTAACTTCTGATTTGCTGCAAGTCTTTTTTCAATTTGCTTGCTCCTTTATCTAAATTGGTAGAATATGTTAGGGAGCAGTGTTGAATTTCAGTCCTAGGACTTCAAAGTCTGCTTTTCTATATATTTCAAAGTCCGCATGGTGTTTTTTATTTTTTTTTTGAACCAGTAACATTTTTTCAATAATTTTTGGTCATATCCTTCACTTTATATTTTTGATTTTTAAACACGGCATTCAGTATCTTTTCACCTTTTTATTGATTCTTCTATGACTAGGCATCATACCTAAGTTCTCTCATGCTAATTATCTTTTGAGCTGCCTCTTGGAGAATCAGCTGCTTCTTTAGATTCTATAAGGCAACTCTTTCAAAGCACATTACAAAATGGAATAGTAATAGTTTGCACTTGGCCAATATTTTTGTAACATTAGAAAATTATTGCATGATTTTATATGAACTTGATTTTCTTTAAATTATTTCAGATCTTTTTTATTCTGCGTAAGAAAAATAGTCAAGTGACTTTCCTGCATGTCTTCCATCATACCATCATGCCATGGACCTGGTGGTTTGGAGTCAAATTTGCTGCAGGTAGCCAAGGGAGAGTTGGGATTATGTGCTATAATTGGTTACATTTCTGTATGCTCTAAGCATAAATTCTATCTTTAAGTGTGACTTAAAAGAATCCTAAAACATCAAAGAATCACTTTGATCAAACTTCTGACTTTCATTAATTATCTGAAACATAAACACAGGACTCCTAACTAGATCTTCCCCCACTCCCCAATACTCTTTAGTATGTATGACCTTTGGTATAGTCTTCTACTCATCCTTTAGTTGTTTTGCTTGGATTTTATTCTTTTCCTATACAATTCTATAAATATTTTAAAATAAGTAATAAATGATAAAATGGTAAAATCCTTGATTTTATAGGAATATAATTAGATAACTATTGCTTATATGTTTCCAGGAAGTTAGAATGCTTATCTCAAGTTCCATGTCTTCTTTGCTTTCAAAGTTCCAAAAGCTGATACACCAAGAACTCTTTTAAAGATGTGTCAGATTACAATTGTCCCACCTTCCCTAAACATCCTACCATATTAAAGAATGCTTTGATTGTTTTTTAATGTCAAAAATAGTTTAACTCAAAAGCTTGGCAAACAGATTCTTTAGTTGGTTTTGATTTTAGGCTTCTGAACATCTAGAATATGAGAGAACAGGAAGGTAAGTAATTTTACCTATCATAAAGTTTTAAATAAGTGATATCCTCAAGGATATAGTTTTATTAGCAAAAGTTGTCTGGGGGATTTATTTGTTCTAGTTTCTTCAATTTAAGAAGCAACTCTAAAGATCCTTTGAATAATCTGTTTTCCCCATCAGTATCGATTCTATGAGAAAACAGCGATTTCTCCAAATTAAACATTTTCATGGAAAAAAAAAGAAGTCTTCCTGTAGGCTTGCAGCCCATTCTAGGGCAAAGCTTTAACATTTCTGTGAACAGCTCACCTCTTTTGGGCATTCTGACTTTGTAAGACTAAAGGAAAGAGAAACTATAATTGAGGAACTCTTGTTTGAGTTTTAGACTTTCTAGACATGGGGCCGGGGGCCGGGGGTGGAAGTCTGCATGTCTCAGAGCATGAAGGGACGTAGATAAGCCAGTGGCTAGAATAGGATGCCAGAACCTAGGGGAGCTGGAAGGGCTGGCCTTACTTTGGCCCAAGGGTATCAGATTTTCCAGTATGTAAAGTAGCTCCTTGCCAAAAATTGGCATTTATCTGTTGAAGATTTTTTTTAAGGAAATGTAGTTGTTTTTCTTATAATGTATATATGTGAATTTAAAAATTTAACTCACATCATAACAAGATGGTCTCATCTGTGTCCATTTCACAAATCAACGGTAGTTATATTATTTAATCTCCATTGTTTTACTTTGCTTTCCATGCTTTTGTTTTCTCTTGCACGTATATTGCACCTCTCAGTTCTTTTTACAGTGATATTTCTCGACACTATTTCTTTTGGCGGAAATTAGAAAATACCTAAACATCCAGTAATCGAATGGTTGTGATGTCTTGTGTTTATAACTATGAAATGCAAATGATTTTGAGAGACATGTAGCTTCAACTCCTGTTAAGCAGCTTGGCTCCTAAATTTATCATAAATATGTAACTATTCTTACTATTCTATTTTTAAAGTATGCTAGACAAGGTGTTTTCACACTCTTAGAACTTATTTATTCAGATATCTTCCAAAACACCAGATTATTCTATTCCAACACTGAAGAATAAATATAAATTAAAAATAAATAGGAAAGCAGTACCCCCAAATACAGTGGTTAAGAGATATTGACACAAGGGGTCTCCCTTTCCTTCTTTATCCATCTCTGCATTTTCTAAATTTTCTTGTTTGAATATCTGTTGATTCTATAGTGGACTAGCAAACACTTGAACAGCATACCTGATATCTGTTCAGTGACAAATACAGCAACAAGAGCAAGGGTGTTTCCAGAAATGTGGTGTGGTGTTGGCTTTCATTCCTAGAATAAAACTGTCCAGTTTTATCTGTCCTTTCAAAAACCAGAGCACAGCTGATCTCTATCTAGTATTTAATTTCCTGTTTGCCTATTGTACTCCTCCCTGGGATAACAGCAATCCAGCTTTTCTTTTGAATGTGATGCAAAATATTTCTGTGGCAGGTTTTTGTATTAATTATGTGTATACTCCCTTTCAGAGATACAGAGAATTGTGATAATTACCCAGGTGGTTCCTTTATATTTTTTCCAAACGAAAGAAGTAAAATGTGATGGTACTAATTATAAGTCATTCTTTGCAGAACTATTGTAAAGAAGAAAGCAAGCTTACAAAGTACTTTATAAGAAAAGTCTTCCAAAGGAGATATGAGACGTATTACTAATTAAAATGTGATTATTCTGTGAACAAACATTAAAGTAGCTCATCAGAAAACAATCACTACTAGAGAAAATAAGCAAGCTAATTTGATTTGATAGCTTATTTCAATCAGTAACCCTAACTATAAACACTCTTAGCTACACTACTGCCTTGTTAAATTCCTGTCCATAGGAGCCTCATTTTAGGACATTCAAATGGTGAAAGTTTCTGAATGGAAAATAGAATTCTTCTACCAAAAAATGGAAGAGGTGTCTTGGTGAGAAAGGCTCGGTCTTATTCATTATCAAGCATGAAATAGATTTCCTGTGCATCTGTAATTGTGAGACAGTAGATTTGAGAGGTAGCTGGCTTGTCCCCATTTAAGTAGCTTAACTCATAAACTATTCTATTTTTAAATTACCCTAGAAAAGGTGTTTTTACACCACACTAATTTATTTATTTATATTTCTTTTGGGAAAAAGACTAATCCAAATGTAAATAATAGAAGCTGGGAGTTTGTTAATAAGTTTCATTAGTTCAGTTTCTTCTTACTTGAAATTTGTGATAATGAAAGGATTAGCTGAAATTTGATTTATTCTATTCAGGAGAGGAAAGTTTATGAAATATAGTATAGCATGAAAAAGACTTTTCATATTTAAATATGAAATTTTTCAAATATTTTTTAAAAACTACTTACTTTTAAATAGTTTTAAATATTATTTAAGGCAGGTTATTTTAAGGAGTACTTTGGCAATGGTAACATTTAGAAGTATCAAGTATTGTTGCAATTATGGATGATTTTTTAAAAAGTAATTATTTCTGCTATGAAGCAGCTTTTATGACATCTGTCCTTAGAAGATTGTAGTCAAAATAATAAATTTAAGTTTTGCTTTAAACTTTCTATAAATCACAGTGTTCATGAATTCAGTCCTTTCCCTAATGTAATTAGGCAAATTTGTGAGATTTTATTTCTGAAATTAAAGAATATTAGAGTAAATAAAATAGAATATTTTTAGAAAAATGTAAACTCCAAGTCAACAGTACTAAGCTGAATCAGGCTCTATATAAAGAATGAAGATTCTTCTAAATTGTTCATCTTAGGAAAGAGACACGGGGGATGAGTTTTGGGTTTTTTTCCCCACCATCTGCTAATCACTTTGTTTTCCCTTTCCACTGTACTACTGATTCAGTTAGGGCTTCCCTGGTGGGTCAGCTGGTAAAGAATCTGCCTGCAATGTGAGAGACCTGGGTTTGATCCCTGGGTTGAGAAGATCCCCTAGAGAAGGGAAAGGCTACCCACTCCAGTATTCTGGGCTAGAGAATTCCAATGGGGTATAGTTCAATGGGGTCGTGAAGAGTCAGACATGACCGAGCCACTTTCACTTCATTTCACTGATTTAGTTAAAGACAGTTGAAAGAATCTTGGGTTATATTTACTCCAGGGTCCTTTTCTTCTATCCTAAATTGAAGGTGATCAGTGGGAGATGTGCTGGGATTAGAAGAGGAAACCAAGATAGGAAGGCACAATTGATAATAGTCAAATGGAAACAGCATCAAAATGGTCTAACAATAAATGTTTATTTTGGAAAAACAATGATTGATTAAAGCAAACTTAACATAGCTTACTTATGAAAGCCAGTGGTTCTACTGCTAAAATTTTGTGGCACTAAAAATATTTATTGAAAACTATTAAGAGTGAAAAAAAGTTAACTTGATTTTACATAATAATATGTAAGAAATATATATACAGATTCTTAGTGGCTTAATTCACAATACCTCAAATTGAAAACAACTCAAACATCTTTTGATTGGAGGGTGGATAAATACATTGTGATGAATTCATATCAGGTAATACTACACAGAAATAAAAAGGCAATCTATGTGGATGAATCTTAAAAACAGTGTGTTGATTAAAAGAAGGTAGCCACAAAGAATACATCCTGTATAATTCTGTGTATATGAAGTTTTATAACAGGCAAAACTAACAGTTGATGATGGAAGTCAGAATAAAAGTTACATTGGAAGGAGTATATTCATTAGAAGGGGCACATGGGAACTTCATGTGGCATCAGAAATGTCTTCTATCTTGAATTTGGTGGTGGTGACATATGTAAAATATCATCAAGTTGTATGCTTAAGATTAGTGTGCTTTATATATGTTAATTCTTACTAAAAATGAATTTGATTACTATTATTTAGCAATATATTATATTTAAAAGGTAAAATTCCACTTAGTTTGTTAAGGTAAGTCCAAATCACAGGAAAATCTTAATGTTAAGATAGAATAAATAAAGTTGTGTTCATTTATTTTCCAAGATTTTATTTTGCATTTTACAAAATGGGTGTAGTATCCAGATCCCTCTGATTTTATAGATGTTTAATAATAATGATATTTCATGTTTATTTTTCTTCCCACTAAAATTAAAGAAATATACTAAAAGTTCAGACCAAAATTTATCTCATCTTAAGGAACAGTGCCCCTATTTTATAATATTTTTTTTCCAGGTGGTTTGGGAACCTTCCATGCCCTTGTAAATACAGCTGTACATGTAGTCATGTATTCCTACTATGGACTGTGTGCTTTGGGACCAGACTACCAGAAGTATTTGTGGTGGAAAAAATATTTGACATCATTACAACTTGTGAGTAGTTAATTTTCTTTAAAAGCAGATATGAAACTAAACTGGGAGTCGCTTGACTTCATTATGAATGAGGATACTAACGAAAGAGCAAAGTTTACAAAACATAGGAATATAAATTGCCTGGCCTCTAAGGCATCCAGGTGGCACAGTGGTAAAAAAATCCACCTGCCAGTGCAGAAGATGCAAGAGACATGGGTTCCATCCCCGAGTAGGGAAGATCCCCTGGAGTAGGAAATGGCAACCCACTCCAGTATTCTTGCCAGGGAAATCCCATGGATAGTGGAGCCCGGCAGACTACAGTCCATGGGATCACAGAGTCAGACACGACTGAGCACACACACGTGCATGGCATACCATCATTCTTTATATCTTCTGTGAACTTTTGTCAGGAACTTTATTGAAAACAAACTATATTTGGTAGCCAAGAGGCTCAGACAATTAAAGCAGCATGTGTATCTTTATGCCACCTCTATATTATTTTATGCATTTATATGAGGAGGAAATGGTAACCCACTGCAATATTCTTGCCTGGAGAATTCCATGGACAGAGGAGCCTGGGGGATTACGGTAAACAAGGTTGCAAAGAGTTGGACACAACTGAGCAACTAACACATACACAACATGCATTTATATAAAATAAATATATTTATGATCAAAATAATCTCAAAATTATGTGAACCTCATTAGACATAATATTAAATTAGAAGTTAGAAATTCCATATGCTAGATCTAAATGACCTTAAGGGAATGTAACTTTCAGAGAATTATGAGCCTTCCTGTGTGCCTGCCTGCCTAGTCCTGACATTTATAAGTTTATCTTTCCTCCAACTAGTAAAAGTCCTGTGGGAATTAAAGGCGTAGAGTGGTGCTGTAAAATACATATTGACAAAAGTGACAGCACCCTAAATAAACAAACGTAAGGAAATGGAGAAGTAAATTATTTTAATTCCTGCTTGGAAATATTACAAAGTTCTGAAAATTATTCACAAGTCCGTCCTTTTTAAGCATTTTATATAAATTGAAAGTAATATATGTTTATTGTAGAGAAGTTAGAACATCTATGATGCATATAGAATTTATCTTAGGCTTTTTTTTTTCACTTACTCTTAAGTGTTGTAAAAAAACTTTTTAATAATATGGAAAAATACTTATATAGAGAAAATACATGCTGTTCATTATTTTTTCAAATGTGTTAATAATATTTACACACACACACCTGCATAGAATGCGGAGGATGCTACTTTGACTTTCTAAAGTTTCATTTTCTCATCTGCAAAATGAGAGGAATAATTGTAGCTACCGCACAGGAATATCCTAAAAGTTCCTTGAGATAATGCAAGGAAAGTTGATGATGATAATAACAAGAATGATGTAAAAATCTTAACTATGGTTAGAATAGATTATGGGTAATCATTATTTATTTTTATGTGTAGATTTTTACTTTTCCAAAATTTCCATAGAATACGTGTTACCTTTTAGTCATGAGAAAAAAGATATCCAAAAAATGTGGACATTAGCCCAGAACATGTAATACATTCTTTTAAGACTGTGTAGAATGTTCTGGAACACAGAACACTTGGGCATATGAGGGGGGTCACCAGTGCTCTCTTACTGCTTGAAGATTCTCTGCTATAGTTGGCAGATAGGATATATTTTTGTCTATGACAGTGGAGGACTGCTGGCAAATATGAAGACTCAGTGATGGTGTGGCTCCAATAATGTAAAGGGGGCTCTAATTAGAATGTTTTTATTCCCCTCCCTACCCCTTCCTCAACCGAAATATCCAGGTTAACAGCAGGACAGAAAGTTTGAAATCAAGCTGTCATAGAAAATGAGGCCATAAGGTAGTGGTCCTGAGTGTATTTCTTCAGACAAGAGCTCAGGTTGAGACTGATGGTTCTCTGCGTGTTAAAGGGCTGCTACAGTGTACTGCCCACCGTGCGTGCTCCGCTGTGTCGGACTCTTCACGATCCCTTGGACGGTGGAGGTTCAGCTCCAGGGAAATGACGTACCACTCCCTGGAGCTGTGTGCTTTGGCACCACTGAACAGTGGTTCCAAATTCCCATCTGCATTTTGACATTGTTCCACCTACTCTGACTCCCATGGAGGCTAGATTGAAAGATAAAGTTCCCTGTTCAGCAGTAGCTTAGATGTGGTTGGAGAGTGTTTAAATATAAGCAGACAAAGAATGCATTAAATAATTGCTCCATTGTGACTCTTGGTAGCTTAACAGTACTTTTCATTCTTCCATCTGTTAGATCCAGTTCGTTCTTATCACCATCCACATCGGCCAGTTCTTTTTCATGGAGGATTGCAAGTACCAGTTTCCAGTCTTTCTGTACATCATTATGGGTTATGGCTGCATCTTCCTGCTGCTCTTTCTCCATTTTTGGTACCGTGCTTACACCAAAGGTCAGAGGCTACCCAAAACTGTGAAACATGGAATCTGCAAAAACAAAGATCACTAAAGTTCAAGCACAACATAGGTCTATGAAAAAGATTGATATCTTGTCTTCCTTGACAATCAAGAGATATTTCCATGTGCAGTGCATTTTATATATTTTTCAAAACCAAGAGCTTGTATTTTTATGATGAGTTATTGGGGTTGCTAGTATTTGAGAGCCCAAAGCTCCCAGAGAACAGTCTTCTGATAATTAAAGCCTAAAGTAGCCAGTTTTTCAGCTGCTTTTAAACCTAAAGATCTTATTTAACACATTTTTTAGATTGAAAGAAGGATGTGAAACAGTACAGTAGTCTACAAAGAAATCCAGTATACATGAAAAATATCGTTTGATATTTTGAGCATGGGTAGAGATTCATGCAGTACAGTAGATTCCTTCTGTAGAGTCTGAAAACCTTTAACTATGGGTTCTGGCTTTGTTGCTTGTTGACTATATTCAGAAGACACTGTATTTAAACTTAAATTCCCATTCTAAAGAGCTAACATGATTTTTGATAAGTTATCATTTAAAATCACTAAGTCATTTTTAATGAATCTCTTAAATAGCCAGCCCCGGTTTTGCTTATAAGACTTCCTCCCAACACTTTTGCTTGGTAAACTGTTTAAAAGGTAACAATCCTTTATGTTAGTACATTGATGCACTTGAAACTAAGGTGGAGTTAATATTTTGAAAACAAGGTGATTTGTTCTGATGGCTTAATGAACACTTTACTGTTACTCGTTTGCATTGAACTTTGCATATTTCTGGGAAGAGGTGAATTTGTCCAAGGAAAAAATAAATAGTTGCCTATAGTTGATGTAATGTCACTTTCTCATATGATCGTGGTTTAAAGGATTCTCTTGGTTAAATATATATTGGCTAGATGTGTAAATGCTCATATCATTAGCACACATTAAATGACTTTATACATAGTTTTCCAGGGGTGGGTTAAGAGTGGCTTGTGAAGCAACTGGAAGCAAATGGTGGCACAGAAACTATCAAGGGAAAACTTGGTGATAGGGGTCTCTCATAACGAGAGCAAGGGAGAGAGACTGTGTAACAGTTATTGTTATAAATTCACTGCATGGAAAAATATTTTCTAAACTTATGAATTAAATAACAGCCTAGAACTCTTTTTTTTCATATTTATGAACTATATAATGAAGGACTGAAATGCATTTTGCATAGCTTTCATTTCTTTAAAATTGCTGCTTTCTAAAATTCTCTTTTTTTTCCACATTTTGTCAGGGAACCCAACTACTGATCAGTAGAGTTTCACCCAAGAAATAACAATAGTTGGATATTTCTGAATTTTTCCGTATAGCCTTTTTTACTGTTATACTTGATTTTGAAGGGTTGCTTATGTTTGTGTCACTGCAAGCAATCGGTACCCAGTCCTTGTGTAACACATAATGATACTTACTATACAACAAAGCCTGAGTTTCTACCAACTGTAAACCCCTAGAGTTAGGTGTCTCCCTCTTAATCCATTCATCTATACCATGGTCTTTTCTTTTCACATTCAGCAGGTTCATAGTTATTTGCCTTTAGTGATTTCACTTTCTTACAGTATGAAATGATGAAGGTTGATAAAAGGAGAGATTACCTTTTTAAAAAAAATAAATAATAAAGAACAGGAAAACAAAAGTAAATGAAACAGCAGCTCTAATTTATCTCTCTATGAGAGTCTCAGATCTCCTGAAGTGTTTTCCTGTTTTGGCTCTTCAAATCCAGCCTAAGCTAAAGTGAAGAGGTATGGTAGATGCTGTTACACATATGCACAGTTCCCAAAGACCCCAGTAGGGTAAAGACCAAAAGGAAGCAAAACTAAAAGAAGATAAAACAGGAGAGCTGGGTTTGATCCCTGGTTTGGGAAGATCCCCTGGAGAAGGGAATGGCAAGCCACTCCAATGTTCTTGCCTGGAGAATCCCATGGACAGAGAAGAGCCTAGTGGGCTATAATCCATGGGGTCGCAAAGAGTCGGACACGACTGAACAACTTTCACTCACTTGGTATCTTTGCATACTTTCTGCCTTGTACTGTACAACCTCCTCTCCTCTTCCTGTAGCCGTTAAAATGATTGAGGTGCTTATGAAATAATAGTAACATGTGATGGAATCACACTCTACACTATGAATAGGAGTAGAGAGCTAGAATGTTACATGAAAAGAAATCATAGCTGGCAGAGGCAACCTCCATATGAATGAACATCAGCAGATCAGTGCCACTGGATGCAGGCTGGGTGGGTATTGTTTTATTAAATGGCTCTGTGGGTCACATAAAGTTTCTGTTGGACTTTCATCCCACTTTTCAAGACTTCCTTGCCTTTGGGTGTGCTTTGGTTACCTGACAAATAAAAAGGCCAGCTACAAAACCTGGCTTATGATACAAAGCTCTATGAATTCTTTAGAACCTATACCTACATTATAGATAAATACAAATATAAAATTTTAAATATCTGTGGGACATTGCCATTTTACAATCTTAATTGAGCAGACTGCATTGTTACATAAATTATAAGATTATGAAGTTGCATTTCTTCAACTATCCCTTATTTCTGTTAACTACTTTAAAGACTGTGGAAAACTCTGTGAAAATTGTCAAGGTTCAGGTCTGATTTTTGGTGTGTGAAATATAATAATAAATCCGTGGTGTTGCATGTCTATGTGTGTGTGTTTTTCATTTGGAATCTAACTACGTATGTTTGCATGGAAAGATGGTGTTGTAATCTGAATATTCATTTAATCAAATCATTTCACACACTTGTTCTACCTTTGCTATGTTTAGAGCCCTGTGCTGGACATTGAAAGTGAAAGTGAAGTCGCTCAGTCGTGTCCAACTCTTTGCGACCCCATGGACTGTATCCTGGCTCCTCTGTCCATGGGATTTTCCACGCACAAGTACTGGAGTGGGTTGCCATTTCCTTCTCCATGGGGACTTTCCGACTCTGGGATCAAGCCCGGGTCTCTCGTGTTGTAGGCAGACGCTTGTTTGTCTGAGCCACGAGAAAGTCCTGGATGTCAGAGTGTTACAAAATACAAAGATGCCTGCCTATCACATGGGGCTTTTCTGATGGTCCAGTGGTTAAGACTCCACACTTCCATTGCATGGGGCACAGGTTCAATCCTTGGTTGGGGCACTAAGATCCCACATGCTGCACAGCACAGCCTAAAAAACGAAAATCAAAGATGCCTACCACATAGTTGGTACCCCCTGGAGCTTGCAGGCTGTCAGAGGAGATTGTGTTACAGGGAACTATATGGTTGGTGTCATATGAGTAAAGGTTCTGGCACTTAGTAGCAGGGAAGGCTCCATGAAGGTATGTAAATGTGGGTCATGTACAGATTATCAAAATGGGAAGTGGGTTAGTGGGAAAGGTGTTCTAGGTAAAAAATAACAAATCAAAAGGGCCCAGAGGTAGGAAAGTGTAGGAAATGGCCAGCAGACCAAATTAGAGCAAGGCATCCTCAGATATGTAGATGACACCACCCTTATGGCAGAAAGTGAAGAAGAACTATAGAGCCTCTTGATGAAAGTGAAAGAGGAGAGTGAAAAAGTTGACTTAAACCTCAACATTCAGAAAACTAAGATCATGGCATCCGGTCCCATCACTTCATGGCAAATAGAGGGGGAAACAGTGGAAACAGTGGCAGACTTTATTTTTGGGGGCTCCAAAATCACTGCAGATGGTGACTTCAACCATGAAATTAAAAGACGCTTACTACTTGGAAGGAAAGTTATGACCAACCTAGACAGCATATTAAAAAGCAGAGACATACTGTAATGGTCTTTATCTTTCTGGCTTACTTCACTGTAATGGTCTTTATCTTTCTGGCTTACTTCACTCTGTATAATGGGCTCCAGTTTCATCCATCTCATTAGAACTGATTCAAATGAATATTATCTAGGGTGAAACAGATCACCAGCCCAGGTTGGATGCATGAGACAAGTGCTCAGACCTGGTGCACTGGGAAGACCCAGAAGGATCGGGCGGAGAGGGAGGTGGGAGGGGGGATCGGGATGGGGAACACATGTAAATCCATGGCTGATTCATGTCAATGTATGACAAAACACACTACAATATTGTAAAGTAATTAGCCTCGAACTAATAAAAAATAAATAAATAAACAGAACTAATGAAAAAAAAAAAAAGCAGAGACATTACTTTGTCAACAAAGGTCCATCTAGTTAAGGCTGTGGTTTTTCCAGTAGTCATGTATGGATATGAGAGCTGGACTGTAAAGAAAGCTGAGCGCTGAAGAATTGATGCTTTTGAACTGTGGTGTTGGAGAAGACTCCTGAGAGTTCCTTGGACAACAAGAAGATCCAACCAGTCAATCCTAAAGAAAATCAGTCCTGAGTATGCATTGGAAGTTCTGATGCTGAAGCTGGAACTCCAGTACTTTGGCCACATGATGTGAAGAACTCATTTGAAAAGACCCTGATGCTGGGAAATATTGAAGGTGGGAGAAGAAGGGGACAACAGATTGAGATGGTTGGATGGCATCACTGACTCAGTGGACATGAGTTTGAGTAAGCTCCAGGAGTTGGTGATGGACAGGGAAGCCTGGCCTGCTGCAGTCCGTGTGGTCGCAAAGAGTTGGACACAAGTGAGTGACTGAACTGAACTGAGTAACTGGTGAGAATATGAAATAGCATAAACACAGAGAATATAAGACTTACCAGATTTGAGTGGGGAGAAAAAGAAGGTGGGTCCTTACCCAAGAGGTTAAGGACCCTTGGGTTATGATACTTCCAAGGGTTATGATACTTCCACTCCAGGAGGTAAGTGTATTGTTGACTAGAGAGGAGATGAGTGGGTGGGAGGTGAGGACAGAAGTTTCTCTACATATTTCCAGCAGATGCAATCACAATGAAATAGGCTCACAACACGTCCTGTTATACCAGGCTGCCCCAGAGAGACCAGAGTCGTCTTTCTTTTAGTGGCTAATTGGGTGTGGTCATGGCTTTCACTGACAGTTGTCATCAGGTCAGACTTCACATGCATATATGATCCAACCAACAG